CTGGGAGGGATGGGGAGAGCAAATCCATGAGAGGCCAGCGGAGGTCCCAGCGTTTCACCCGTTCAGTCACCCCTCAGGCCACCAACTGATCCCTTCCTTGGGGCAGTGAAAATAGCTCAGGACTGGCCCTGTCCTGCCAGGCTCAATGTCCTCATTTTTCCATTTTGCTCCACCCAGGCTTCCCATCCCTGCTGTGACCAGCTTCAACATCCCCATCTCTCTATCCTTCCCCCTGTCCCTCCAGATTCAGCATCTCCATTCCCACATCCCCTTCCCCACATCCCCACATCCCCATCCCTGCTGTGACCAGCTTCAACATCCCCATCTCTCCATCCTCCCTCCTGCCCCGCCAGATTCATCATTCCCATTCCCACATCCCCACATCCCCATATCCCCATATCCTCAGGCTTGCAGCCTCTTCCAAGGCCACTCTGGGCTGGTTGTCCAGGAGGAATTGCCAGCGTGGTCATTCACCTGCATCCCAGCCCTGCTGCCTGTTTACATTCACCCTGAGCTCGGGATATTTTCCATCTGGATCCTGGCAGCTGCACAGCCCCGCTCCGGCAGTGAATGTAAATGTTTACGGGTGAGTCAGCCGGGCCAGGGGACCCACAGCTGGTGGCCATGGTCTGTCCCCACGCAGGACACCCTGGCTGTGGGCTCCTTGCTGATGCCGCCCTGTCTCACTGTGTCCCCACGCCAGCCAAAGCAGCCATGGAGGAAGAGGGATGCTCCCATCCTCAGGATTCACCCCACAGCAGCTCATCCAGCCTCTGTCCCCGGTGAGGATGAGGCTGGTGAGGAATAGGATGGGTGCAGATCCGAGGGATTGCTCCCACTCTCCCAGCCCTGTGCCAGCCGCTTTCCAGCAGGAGCTCAGCGAGGAGAAACTCTCCTCCACCCAGGAGCCGGGAATCGCCCTATTTGGCGCAGTCAGCAGCTCCTGTCGGGCTGCCATGGCCCGCCTCACAGCACAGGAATTCACGGGAAGCCTGCACGGTGTCACAGCAGGATCCTCAGGGCAGGCGTGGTGGGGTGGCACCGNTGGGGCTCAGCATTCTCCCGCGGAGAGCAGGACCCCGATGTCACCTGCCCTTTGTGTCCCCTGCAGGTCCCATGGCGCCGGGCCGGGCCCTGCTGGTGCTGCTGGTGCTGAGCCCCCTGTGGGCGTGTGGGGCTGATCTGCTGGAGCCGGGGCTGCCCTGGGGCGGGCAGTGGGTCTGGGGGGAGGCCAAGCCCCTGCCCCACTCCCGTGGCAAGAGGGATGACAGTGGGCAGGAGCCCGGTGCCACCACGATGATCAGCAGTGACAAAGGCGATGGTGTCTCGGTGCCACCGCCAGCACCTGGCACCAAGGCCAGCCTGCTCCTGGTGCCAACCACAGCCAATGCCACGGATGATGATTCCCCCGAGCCTGAGCTGCTCCTGAGCTCTGCAGCACCAGTGCCCAGCACCAACTCCAGCCTGCTCCAGGTGCCTGCAGTGCCCACCACAGCCGGGCCTATGGATGAGACAGATTCCCCTGCTCCTGACTTACTGGAGGACTCTGTGGCACCAACAGTGACCAGTGCCAGCACCAGCCTGCTCCGGGTGCCCACCACAGCTGATCCCATGGATGAGACAGATCCCCCTGATCCCGACCTGCTCCCGAGCACTGCCCTACCACCAGCCTCCAGCACTGAGGCCAGCCGGGCACTCGTGGTGCCAACCACAGTTGATCCCATGGATGTGACTGATTCCCCTGCTCCTGATCTGCTGCCAGGCTCAGAGCCTGGCACACCATCAGCAGCCCAAAAGAGCATCGCCACCACCACCCCCGGCAGGCTCACGGCACTCATCGAGGAGGACACAGTGACTGATGGCCTGGACAGCGACTCCTCCACGGGGCCACGCTCAACAGCCCCCCCAGCCTTTGTCCTCACCAGCACGGGCTACGAGAAACCCAAGAAATCCCGAGCTCCGCCTGCATCGACCCTCGCGGCCATCGGGGACACGACGCCGGTGGGCAC